GGTGCCTCCTGCCACCTAGGGTGCATGTCCCCTGCTCCCTGGGGCTCTGTCTCCTCTTTTAGGCTCCCCCTGCCACCAGGTCAGAGTAGCCGGCTACTTCCTCTGTAGCATGAATAACAGCCCGCAGCTCTGCCCCCCTTGCTTGTGGGCTAACTGGTTCCCCCTGCTAAAGACTCTCAGCCCCATGAGGGCAGGGACCCTGCAGGTCTTGCTCACAGCACAAGGCCTGGCACATAGTAGGTGCTCAGTACAAATTTGTTGAATGAATGAGCAAATGGGTGGATGGCCGGCAGGATTCCTCCACAGCCCCCCCACCGCCCCCCAGTCAGAGAGTGTGGGGACAGCTCCTCCTTGCCAGATGGGGCACAAGGGGACAGAGGAACCTGTGTGGGGGCAGGCCAAGGTGACTTGTGGACATTCCTGAGTCCAGGGGCTCCTACAGGGGCAGGTCTCTGTCTGGGGCCTTAGTGAAACCCAAGAAGAATTTCCCTGTTTTCCCTTCTGTCTGACTCACACTTAGGTTGTGAAGTTCCCCTTTCAGTCAGCATCTCTCCCGAGGCTGCAGAGTGGCCAGGTGAGGCTGTTGGGGCCTGGGTGACTGGGGAGGCTGAGCTTCGGTTCCATTCACAAAAATGGGACCTGACTGGTGCCCGTGTCCTGCCTGAGTGTGGGCCCCCAGCCGTGCCCAGCGTTGGCAGTTTTGCAAGGGATGGCGGGGGTGTTAATGGGGGTCTAAGATGCCCAAATGCCTGCATCCACATGGCCGGTGCTCATCTGGGCCTCCCCCTTCAGCCTCCTGGCTCACCCTCCCCGGGGGCTGGGGAAGGGACTGGAGTCTGGACCCGCCCCAGAGGCGTTGGTCCTCCCTAGGGACCCAATTGGTCTTCATCCCAGGCAGCTGGGAGGCCAGGGCCCAGGTGGGGCAGCCAGCCTGCACGATGGGCCCACTCCCCTCCCTCTGTGCTTCCCTTCTTGAAGCCTGGGATGGATCCAAGGATGAGGGAAGGAGAAGGCATTCCTCCACCTGGCCACGGGTCTCCTCCGAGGGGCGGTCCTCAGGGAGTCCCCGGGGTCTTGCGAGCATCACTCATACTTCACTTGGCAGCCGGTCCTGGAGCCCCTTGGCGCCAGGGTGCCCCGGGGACATCAGGGACTTGACCTGATCCCCCCGGGCAACCAGACAGTGAGGACACAGAGTGGAAGTGCCAGCTCAGCTGGGGGGTTGGGGAAACCTCCCAGGAGGAGGGGGTATCTGGACAGACCTGGGAGTAGTGAGGCGACATCAGCCAGGGGAAGGGTGGAGGGAGGCGAGGTAGGGAGGGCCTCCAGGCAGAGGACAGTACGTGCAAAAGCCAGAGGCAAGAGGGCAGGTGTCACGTTGGAGGTGCTGAGGACCATCAGGGCAGTGAGAGGGGAGAGTGTGCCCCAGGGGAGGGTGGGGGTGCAGGGCAGGGGAGAGCTGAGGCTCGGAGGGAGGCCAGGGCCCCGCTGAGCTGGAAAGCCAAACCAAGCAGCTCTGATGTTTCCCAAGGGTGGTGGGCTTTGTTTGCTTCCGGAACCAGCTTCTGGATGCCTCTGTGGGCAGGGTGGGTGAGGGGAGGGGCTGTCTGGGCAGGGGGCCTGAGAGGGGAGGCCAGGGCACCCCTCCTGCCAAGGCTCTGCCAGAGCTGTGGGGCTCCTCGGACACCCTCAGGCCCAGTGGGCAGGGGCAGCCAAAACCATCACGGGAGGGGAAACTGAGTCCCAGTGCCATGGGCAGTTTGGGGAGAGCTGAGGCAGGGTGGCCACAGGTGACACTGAGCTTAAACCAAAGAGGAAGGACTGTCGGGTGAGAGGCCCAGCCAGTCCCGCTCCCACCACCCAGGCCTGGGCCCCTCTCTGGGCCAGAGCAGCGACCCCGGACCATCCCCAGAGACGTCTCAACAGCTCCCTTGTTTGCAGGCTCTGGGGGCTCTGGGGGCTCTGGGACCCAGAGGCACAGGGACAGGGATGAATCTGAGCAGCCATCAACTGTGGCTGTGGTGCTGGGTCCTGGACTGGACATTGGCTCCCACCTGTGTTGGGGGGTCCCATCTGTCATCCATGGCCACTTGTGACCCGTGGAGACTCTTTGGATTGGCTCCTCTGTGTCTCACAGTTACTAATGGGGAACGGTAGTACCGTGGAGACAGTAAAAGGTAGGCGCCGATACTCAGAAGTGATGTGCAGGGCACAGGTGGAGGAGGCAGGCAAAGGATGCTGTCAGGGAGGCTCATCCATGGCACCTTCTGGACCATTCAGGAGACCCCCTTCACCTGCAGGTCACAGCCTCCTGTTCTGCGTACCTGCAGGTCTCGGCATTGCTGCCTCTTGTACAGTGGAGAAGACTGGGGCTCCAGAAGACTGTCCCATCCAGGGCCACACAGCGCTGCGCAGCTCGGTGGGCTCCTCCGCCCCGCCCCCTCAAGCCCCTCCAGTCTGGGCTGCTGCAGGCACCAAATCCAACCATAGGAGCGGAGCACTTTGAGCACTTTGAAATGCAAAAGCTGTAAGGTATTATTATGATTATAAAAACACAACCATTTATGGTTTTATGAGGCTGAGCTGCCCCTCTGGAATTCCCTCTTATCCAGCGATCTCAAAGCGCTGGGCCAGTCCAGAATTAATTAGGCCCTGCAGCCCGGGACCACAGACGCACCTAGGAGCACCGGCAGGGGCAGGCTGGGGCCAGACAGGAGGCGACAAGCATTGCTCATACCCACTGCTGCCCTCGAGTCTGGAGCCCCAGGCCTTCCCGGCAGCAAGTCCGTTCTCCCTGAGCCAGCTGGCGGGAGATTGGGGAGCTCTGGGGCCTCTCCCTCTCCAACCAGATGAGGGATGAAGATCAGCAGCAGCAGGAACAAGACCAAGGGCTCCACAGTTGACAAGGAGGGTGGGAAGGGCAGTTTTGCCTGGTCTAGAGTTTTCCTGATCCAGAACCAGAAAATTGGTGACTGTGAGCTCCTGAAGGTCATGAGCCATGACCTGAGTGATGGAGGCTGCTGGGATGGACAGGTTTGACAGCTAGAGAGGAGGAAGTGGGGCATGGAGGACTGGGAGATGTAAGGGAAGCCACAGGACCTGTGACCTTGTTGAGGTTTACTAAGTTCACTGAATAAATAATTCATAGATGGGTGGATAGATAGATGATGGATAGACGTGTAGGTGAACAGATGGATGGATGCATGCATTAATGACGGATGGATGGATGAGGGATGGATGGACAGAGGTGGAGAATGGGGCATGAATGAACATAGGATGAAATGTGTGTGTGTTCCAAAGGGATGCTGAAGACATGGGCAGGTTGCAAGGAAGGGCTCACATTGGTTGGAGATGGATAGATGAGTGAATGGATGGATAGATCAATGGATTGGTGGGTTGGTAGACAGTGGGATGAGCACCTGAAATTATCTCAGGGAGGGAATGTGGGAAAGTGGGATGACCTTGGTGGGGCCAATGGGACCTCTTGGACAGAGTTTCGGCATGCATGGAATGATGCCCATGTCCTCCACCAACTGGGCAATAGCCTGGGGGGTCACTGATCTAAGCTAGGACCAGTATCTTGGATCCTCCTCTTGCTTCAGCTTTCTCAGCTCCTTGACCTTTTCCTCATATCCCTTCCAGGCCTTGATTTCCCTGTCTGAACATGAAGACTTGCTAGATGAGATGGGCTTCTAAGGAAGGCTAGTGGAAGCTCCTCGGTTCTCCGGGGGGCGGGGGTAGCAACCCAACCCCTCTCCCCTGCTGCTCACGGTTCTCCCTTGATCCACTCCTGGTGCTCAGTCCAGGCACCTGCCACGCACCCTCTTCCCCACCATTCTCCAAGCATCTGGCTACAAGGCCAACCCAAGAGATGGGCCCTGGGGAAAGGAGAGCTGACCTCTGCCCCGAGGTGGATGGCTGAGGGGCTTCTGTGGCCGCAGATGGCTGCTCAGTGGGTCCCTGGCAGGCTCCAGGTTGAGTCACCCTGAGTCACCACTGTCACTTCCTACCCCACATTCCTTCATTCATACAGTGTCTCATCCCTAAGGCCACTTCCCTGGAATCTTCTTGGGCTGTTGCCAAGGGTGTGAGGGCACTTAGCCTGTTCCGGTCGGACGGGCCAAGAGCTTGGCCCCTGGAGCCCTACAGGGAGAGAGGCTGGACAGTGTGGCCTCCCTGGAAGGAGGCGAATGCCCTCTAAGCCCCACTCTGGCCCAGGAGCTCTCTGACCCTCACTGGGCAGGCACTCCCTCCTGCTGTGAGCGCCTGGATCTGCCACCTTGAGACATGGGCACCTGGAAACACACTGTAGTTCACAGGGCCAAGGAGTGGGAAATGGCTCACCTGCATGCCATTCATTCATTCATTCATTCAGCCCCCACATATTTCTTGTACGCACTCAATCCGCCTGGCACTGTGCCAGCCCTAGAGAAACACTGACCCCACTCCTCGCTCGCTCTCTTTAGATCTTGCAAGGAGGAAGCGGCTATTGCCAGAACGCCATTCTAGTTCAACAGTCTTGCAGAAATCTCTCCCTCCGCCAAACGCTGTATCCCAATAATGCTACATTCGCTTTGTGTTTGAAATTCCACTACATTTTCATGTCGCAGCATTAATGATTTCTCTTTAAACATCGAAGGAAAGCCTAGGACGTTTTTACTCCTAACCATTTTGTGCAAGAGGTGGCTGATCACCATGCATGGCCCCTCGGATAGGCTGCGCTCTGAATTCCCAAGGTCACAAGAGGAAATTCAGCTAATTACAGTCCCCAACTTGACTATGGTGTGAAGGTGATATGCGCTCGGTAGAGACCATGTTTCGAAGCTTGAAGGTAGATCTTTTCCTGGGCCAGCGCTCTTGCCTTGGGATGGAGGGCAGAGGCAGGAGCCCCAGTTCCCCATCAGCCCGCAGTCATGGGGGGGTCGACAACCAATGCGCCGACAGCCATCTGTACCCACATGGATGCTCTGTCTGTCACTTGCACTACAGGGTTCAATACATTACACGAGACATTCATGCTTTATTATAAAATAGGCTTTGTGTATATGATTTTGCCCAACTGTAGGCTGACGTCAGTCTCCTGAGCACGTTGAAGGTCGGCTAGGCTAAGCCATGATGCTCGGTAGGTGAGGTGCGTATTAAATGCATTTCTGACTTAACAATGTTTTCAAGCTGGGATGGGTTGATCAGGACGTTACGCCATTGTAAACTGAGGAAGATCCGTAGCATCTGATAAAAATGACAGTCCTGCCAGTCCCCGATCGACTTGGCGGGTCGGCATGAATCCATGTGTTCTTTGATAAGACTTCATTAATCTTCTGCAGGAATCTCAAGAGGTAGCTCAGTGCGGGACACATTTATTTTGTGTTCCTCTCCTGTGAAGCAGCTGCCCGCGTGATGTCTGGAAGATATGGAGGGCCTGGATGATGTGGGCACGGAAGTGAGAAGAGAGGCCTTGGGGTCAAGAGGCCTGTGTGAACGTGGCAGGCTCCTTGCTTCTCTGGACCCTCTCTGCTTCCCTGGAAGGGAGGCAGGTGGCACAGTGGTTAGGAACATGGGCTCAGGGCTCAGGCTGCCCCTCTCTGGCTGGTGTGTCCTTGGAAAACCTCTTTGAGCCTCTGGGTGTGCATCTGTAAAATGGGGATACTCGTAATAAGTCAATGAGCTAATATATGTAGGCTGATCTAAGATCTAGGATATACGTACAGCAGCTGGCATGCAGTGAAAGCTCAGAAGCCACCAGCTATTTTCTCACCCCGGCCTGTGATGGTCAGAGCCACTAGGGGCCAGGGTCCCATCTCGCAGATGGGAAAACCGAGACTGGGAGGCTCTGGGACAGCTTCTCCGTCCCACAGGCAGCAGGAGGCCTGCAAGAGATTCTGCATGTCCCCCTTCCCAGCACCGTGACTGGTGGCCTCTCAACGTGGAACTTACTCAGGAGGAACACACGACCTTCACGATGGCCATGGCTTGGCAGAATGCTGGGCACATGGCAACAGACAGTACCGAGGCCCTCTTGTCTCTGCTGTGGTCAGGGATCGGGGCCCCTGATGGGCATCTTGAGGGCAGTTGTGGCTGGAGGGTGGGGGAGGAGGAACCGGGAGCACCTCCCAACTCGCTTAAGCCTCAAAGAGACCCCAAGAGGCCACAAGGTGATTCCCAGCGTCACTGGCAATGGCACGGTCCCCGCCCCCCGGCCCCCCTCTCTGGACCTGCCTGTGGTCATACGTCCTCCATACACTTTGCAATAGTAAGAGGTTTCACCTGCAGCGGTTCCAGTCACTATCCCCATTCCCACGTTCTCTGCCACCCTTCCCCTTATGTTGGTGGCGCCGGAACCGCTCTAGACAGGTTTGGGCTTTGGTTAGGGAGAATGACCTGGGGACCCATTTGGTTTGGGTTCATGAGATGTATCTACATCGTTTGGGGACACGTCTGTGTGCCGATGAGCCATTTCTGGTCGTCCCGGCACAGGAAGGGCTGCCAGAGGGGCCCCTGCCGCTCCTGGGACTCACCCAGCCCCACACGGAGGGGAAAGATGCAGGGTCAGGGAGGGCGCTGCAGGGCAGGGTGCCGGCCTCGGCCCTGGAGTCCGGGCAGAGGGTGCAAGGCCCCGGCAGCCCGGAATCGGAATTCTTCCCATCGGTGGAGGGAGAGGACAGTCTTTGTGGAGGAGTGAAGGTCCCCTCTTCGCAGGAATGCACCCCAAAACACAAGCAGGGGACACGAGGGCCCTGAGAGGGAAGGGAACTCGCCCAGAGGCACAGATCCAGGATCTGGTAGGACTGCCAGGACCTCAGGCCTCCTCTGCTCCCACCACATGGTGGGCTCAGGACTGGACTCACCCAACAAGTTCTCAAGTGAAGAAACGTGTCAAAACGGAAACTGCTGACTGGCAGAACCCCTTTCCACAAGCCACCCGTGTGCGTGTCTCCAGAATGTTCTGCTTCCTTTTCAAGGAGCATGTGCAGTATTAAGGATGCCACTTTCCTTGGCTGTCAGGAAGTTGGCTGCAGGGTCCAGAGGTCAGCTGAGTTAGAAAGCGCTGGTTCAGAAACCAGTGGACACCCAACTCCCCTGAACCCGGCCCCCTTGGCCACGGGTGGTGTTTCTTACACAAACTTTTGTCTCGACTGTTCCTCTCACTCCAAGACCCAGGAGGATGCCAGGTCCTGCCCAGTCAGAGCCAGGAGGGATTGGGACTGGGTAAGGCATCCTCCAATTTCTCCCACGGGGGCCACATGATCCCCAACCCAAACGGTCCACACCACCTTCCCAGGCCCAGGTTGGAGGCCACGACTGTCCTGGTCAGAAGAGCGGCCCCCTGTGCCTTGGTCTCAGTAATCATCATTGTCCCCTGCATCTTCCTATTATTTTTTTTAAAGAGAAGATGTTCCCGTGTCTTTTTTTCTTTTTAAGATTTTATTTATTTATTTGACAGAGAAAGAGACAACAAGAAAGGGAACACAAGCAGGGGGAAGTGGGAGAGGGAGAAGCAGGCTCCCCGCCGAGCAGGGACCCCAATGCGGGGCTCGATCCCAGGACCCCGGGATCATGACCTGAGCTGAAGGCAGATGCTTAGCAACTGAGCCACCCAGGTGCCCCTCTTCATGTTATTTTAATCAGTTATTGACCACATGAAATTCTCCCACCCCCGAAGCATGTAACTCATGCGGGGCACGCCCCAAAGGGCTCCACGTGTCCTGGCCTTCCCGTCTGCACGGTGCTCAGAACTGGACCACTTCTGGCCATCTCTTCTGCCACTTCAGCCCAAGCCACCCTGGCTGACTGCAAAGTCCCTCTGTGGCCCTTTGCTCCTTCTCTTGGCCCTGAAGGCAATGATCTTGTTACACTCTGAGGTTTGTCATGCCCTTTCTGTGCTCACCCCCAGGGCTCCATCTTAGAGGAGATTGCAGTCTTGACCAGACCTGCAGCCCACACATGTCTCCCTGCTCAGCCCTGCCTGGCCCTTCTCTGATCACATTACCCCCATTCCCCCATTCTTTAAGTCTAGCCACAATGGCCTTCCTGCAGCTCCTCAAACTTTGTAGGCAGCTTCCTACCCCAGGGCCTTAGCACTTGCTATGCCTTCCACTTGGAATACTCTTTCCAGGATAACCACATGGTTTGCCTGCTTCTCTCCTTCAGGTCTTTTTTTTTTTTTTTAAGATTTTTGTATTTATTTGACAGAGAGAGAGACAGCGAGAGAGGGAACACAAGCAGGGGGAGTGGGAGAGAGAGAAGCAGGCTTCCCGCGGAGCAGGGAGCCCGATGCGGGGCTCGATCCCAGGACCCTGGAATCATGACCTGAGCTGAAGGCAGACGCTTAACGACTGAGCCATTCAGGCCCCCCTCTCCTTCAGGTCTTTACTTGAATGAAGGCTGCTCAGTTAGCCTCCCCTGGCCTCCCCATTTACAGTTGCCCGACGGTATTCTGTAGCATTCAGCACTATCTGACATGCTGAATTCTGCATTGGTCTTGTTAACTGCTGTCTCTCTACCAGGATGTCTGCAACTTTGCACAGGGGTTTTGGCCGTTTCCCTCACTGCTTTATCCCCCTGCATCTATAACCATCATGGGCACATAGTGGGTGCCCCATAGGGAATGAAGGAATATCCCTATAAGATAGGTCCCATTGTTCCCTATTTTTATATACCGAGGAGTGCATTCTGGGAGGGGGAGCAGCATGGGCAAAGACAGAAAACAGGCAGATCGGCACCTGGCCTCATTGGGCCTGACTGGAGGCCACACGGAGGTGCGGGCAGTGGTGAGGACCCCAGGACAGGGCCTGGAGTGGGCTGAGGAGTGGCAAGGTCCACTGGTAGAGGGCCTCATGGGCCACCAGGAGCAACCGAGGTCCACGCAGAAGGAGGTGGGACATTAGCAGGGTCCTGTTGGAAAGACTTCAGTGACAGGTGCAGGGCACACCAGAATGTGAGTCTGGAGGTGGCAGCGAGCTGGGGGAGTTGTCCGTGCAGGCTGGAGGTGCAAGGGAGGACTCGAGAGCAGAAGAGGGGGTCAGTGTGGCTCAGGGGAGGAGTCATCATGTCCCCAGGTTTGTGGTTAGTGGCTGGATGCGGGGGGAGAACCTAGGAGAAGGGAGGTGAAGAGGGGGGTTCGGTTTGGGGTGGGCTGAGGTTCTGCTGCTCTTGGCCCAAGAAAAAGATCTGGGGGTCCCAGTGCTCCCATGGTGACTTTAGCGTGGAGGGATGAGATCCCTCCAGAAGGGGGTGTCTGGAGAAGAGAGGGCAGTTGCCTGAGCTCCAGGCCCTCCCCGCCCCCACCACCTGTTGTCCCTGGGCATAGAGCCCCTCGCACCTGGCTCGCTCGGGCCCCTTCTGACGCAGGAGGCCAGCTGGGGATGGGAATGTTCTTCTGCCTCCAATTTCACAGTGTTAGTGACCAAGGCAGATTTGCTATTATTTTCACCAGAAAAAAAATGTATAGATTTTGGGCTTTTGCCAATAAGTCAAGAGGAAAACAGCTGAAAGGATTTGTGTTTTCAAGGGAACATTCCTCTTTGGGCTTCGTCCACCCTGTGTCCTCTTGGAAAACTACAGGGATGGCTGGAAAGAGTATCCGGGCTGGGTGGGGGTAGCGGAGACTGGGCCCTGGTCCCAGCTCTGCTCCTGGCTCCCTGCGTGCTTCCCGGGCGAAACACGACAGTAACGGCTGGGCATCCCAGAGCTGCAGTGTCTCTGCTGAGCCCCAGATCTATCTCCCAACATCTCCTCGGTGTCCCCATCGGGTGCTCAGGAACACCCCAGGTCTATCTCCCAATATCTCCTCGGTGTCCCCATCAGGTGCCCAGGGACACCCCAGGTCTATCTCCCAACATCTCCTCGGTGTCCCCATCGGGTGCTCAAAGACACCCTCAACTCACCACACCCCTGCCCCAACTGTTGCTCACCCACCAGCCCCAACCTGGTTCTCTATGGTGCTCCCCACCTCAGGGAATGGAGCCTAGCCTCGCACGTGCCTGTCGCCCCTGACGCGTCCTTCCATAGACCATCCAGGCAGTCTTACCCATTGTTGCTCTTGGATCCAGCTCTTGGACTCATTCCAACCTCCTCCCAAGAATCTCAACTCCATCTGATTCACTGTACCTCCACCACCTCCCTTATACTCTACGCTGCCATCACGGCCTCATTATGGGCTCCCTCCCTCCATCCCTGGGCGTGCCTCCAGAGGGAAGGCTTTAGCTCCAGTTCCCTCCCTGCCTTCCTGTGGGTTTCCACGGGGCCTGGGGAGAAGAGCAGAAGGAAGACAAGCAGAGGTAAGCCATGCACTCCAGAGTCCAAATCCAGTAGGATGTAGGCCCAAGTGGAACCCACGAGGGAGGTCGGAAGTGCTGAGAGCAGGGTGTGCGGAATGCAGGGTCCAGCCCCAGTAACCCTGAGCTGGGGAAAGCTTCCAGGAGGAGGGCCTGTGAGAGGTGAGCCTCCAGACAAGGGAGGCCAGGCTGTGGGGATAGGAGAGGAACTCCCAGCAGAGAAGGTGCATCCTGACCTCGGCCTGGGTGATGCTTGGGGAGATGGCTGGGAGATCGGCTCCAGAAACATCCCGGGCTGGCACTGAGCTTGGGAAGGAATGATTAACAGTCACAGACATCATGCTACCATTGAGTGCCTACTGTGTGCCAGGACCTGAGTTGATACGCATTAACTCACCAATCATCCCAGCCACCCAGTGACTATGCCCAGTTTACAGGCTTAGAGACAGAAGCTAAGAGAGGTTCAGTGACTTGCTCAAGGCCACACAGTGAGTAAGGGCTGAAGCCAGGCTGCCTGGCTCCAGGGCCCAGGCCTGGATGGAAGGGGCAGAGTCTTGGGCAGGTGGGACACGGAGGGCCCAGGTGCTCCCTCAACCGAGGCTCTGGCACGACAGAGGGTGTCTCCTGATGCTGCAGCCCCACCCCTCTCATCACCCCTGCAACGGAGGCCCCTCCAACCCCCAGCCTTGGGGCAGGCATGCCACCGCCCTCTGGGGAGACCTCAGACGCACTACCTGCCTCCCACCCTGCTGCAATCCTGCATCTTTCCTGCCACGTTCACAGTGGGGACGCGGCGGGTCCACGAAGCCAGATGACATTCCCGGGTACACGTACGTCCAGAACTGGAACCCCGTTTGTCTGATAGCCGAGCCCACCTGGCCACTCCCAGAGAGACCCACAGGGGTCATTGCCAATGTTTGCTGTGCTTCCTTCTATGTCTCGCCCCAGTTCACGTCCTTTGTGATGACTCAGTGTTGTGAACATTGTTGCCATTTCCCTCCTACAGACCTGGAAACCGAGGCACAAAGAAAGCAAGCCAGCTTCCCCGAGCCTCCTGCTGGCCCACGAACCAGGCAGCCCTCTGTGAACCCCTCCATCCTGTGCACACAGACAATAGCTGCGAGCGTTCTGTCTTAGCACGTGGCCTGGCTTCCAACAAGCCGAGAGGAAGGAGCCTCACATTTATTGAGCACCTACTATGTGCTGGCCAGTTACATACCATTGCTTTGCACATGACTATTCTTTGTCGCATTTTACAAATGAGGAAATGAGCCTCCGGGAGACGAAGCTTACTCACCGCAGGCCCGGACCCTTGGGGATGGGGACGGGGTCTGGCCCCCCCTTCGGCAGCCTCCTTCCTTCTCCCCCTTCCCGCCTGGGGAATTAAGTGGTGAACATTTTCAAAGTCGACTGTCAAAAGAAAAGATTGGAGGAAGGAAATGTGCAATTAGGAGCTTCAGAGTAATTTCCATCGTGCGGTTTGAGCCCGACTGTAAACACTCAGGATGGAGGGGACGCGGCTTTCCTCCTGCTTGGGGTTCCTGCCAGCGCTGTGGGCCCCGGAGCAGGAGAGCCCGGGCGGGGGGCCGCGGGGAGGCCGGGGGCGGCCGGCCTCGCACAGGGGAGGTGCTGGGGGCTGCGGGAAGCTCCCATTCCCCAGAGAGGTTTCTTCCAGCAGAATGTGCCGCATTACAGAAAGGAAATATTAACATTATAATTATAATTCTGTTTATTTAATTAAGTTATTAAACAGGCCCGGCCCAGGGGAGAGAGAGAAAAACCCTCAGTTTCATCCTAATTGTTTCTCCCAGGATGTAATTAGAGCCTGTTAGGAGGGATGGGAGCCAGAAAAGGCAGCGCCTTGCAGGGCCGGGGGGTCCTGGCCAGTGAGTGGGCCCCAGGTGGACCCCAGGTGGAGGAGGCTGTGCATGAGAACAGCCTCCACGAGGGCTGGGGCTTGGCCTGTCAGAGTCCCGTGCCTGGCATGCAGTAGGTTCAGCGAGTGCCTAGTGAGCTGTGAAAATGCTGAAGACCCCCGCAGATGTTTTTTCTAGAAGAAACGCAGCACCTCCCTGCAGGGCTGGGCGCCTTCCCTGATGGTCAACGCTGGTGTCCATTTTGGCTGTGGGTGACCACAGTACATGTAACTGTCGCCACTCTGGTGGCTGATGACTGAGGAGAGGGGTCCACAAATTCTGCCAGCCCCCAGACTCCCATGGAGCTCCTGATCGCATGCCTCCTTCAGGGGCCAGATTCCCTAAGGCCCTGGAATGTTGGGTCTCAGAGGGGTTGAGCAGCTAGAGCCTGTCCCCCTCAGAGCCTCCATCCCAACCTTTCCATCTGAGAAGCCAATTCTGGGACCCAAGACCAGGCCTAGAGGAGCCTCTGCCGAGGGAGGGGGGCCCAGGAAGGGTGCTGGCCCTGAGTAGGCCTCAGATCCGGTTCTGCGCCCCCGAGCCGACAGCTGCCCTCAGGCTCCGTGCAGAACCTCCCGTCGGACGGGAAGTGTCTCGTTCCAGCTGGCGCAGCCTTATCGAACAGTCGGGCTTTGTAAGTGCGGACAGCTGCAGTGATGGTGGTTGACTCTGGGCTGGGGGCGGGGGCCGGCTGGGCGACTGGATTTGGGGAGCTGAGGAGGGGGAGGCCAAAGCCAGAGGCATCTGCAAGGGTTGGGGGAGCAAGGATCACGGAGATTTCATTCAGGCGGAACCTCCCAGAAAGCTGAACCCCTCAAATGGGTGCCAGGACATGAGGCCTAACAGGGAAGTGACCGCGAAGGAGGAAGAATGTGCCTGGGGAAGGTGGGAGGGGCTGGGCCTAGCCCTTGGCTCTCTGCACACAAAAGAGCCATCTTGCGGTGGACAACACTGAAGTAGCCACAGAACCAATCATTTTGGAGGGATGGAAGGGTGTGTGGACCTTTTCTTCATACAACCATTTACCCACCCTACTACTCATCCAATCCATCCATCCATCCATCCACCTGTCCATCTATTCATCCATCCATCCATCCATCCATCCATCCACCTGTCCATCTATTCATCCATCCATCCATCCAACCATCCATCCAACATTCAGACAAGTTTCACTCATACTCAGCCACTTCCTCTGCTGGACTCCAGGGACCCAGGAAATGATCAGACTGTCCCTGCCCTGGTGGCATTCCCGGTGTGTGTTGGGTGTGGGGGAAGGGGAAACCATCAGAAGACAAATTCCTATGGTGACTCAGGGAAGTTCTGTAGCTGAGAAGGTGTAAACCAAGTATGGATGGGAGTGTTTCTCAGGGACTCACCCTCAGGTTCTCATCAGAAAAATAAGGATAGGGTAGTGGCCACCACCATGATTGTTATGGTGTTAGACAAGACAATGCACTTAAGATACATAGCACCGTGCCTGGCATAGAAGGTGCTTAATGACTGTTATGACCTATTTGCATCACCATCGACATTATCATTATTATCTCTGCCCAGGATGGGAGTGGGGTGGTTTAGGGAAGCCTTCCCAAATGTGGGGTCATTGAGGCTGGGTATCAAAGGATGAGTAGAAGTTTGCTAGGTACAAGCCTATACTCCCTACCCTCCAACACCCCAGGAGCCCACATTTATGCTGAAAATATTCTTGCCTCTGCACCATACTTGCCACCTCTGCTCCTCTTCTCCAGGGTTTCCTTCCTTTGAGATCAGCTTTAGCTCCAACTCCTCCTGGAAGACAACCTACCCATTCCAGGCACTGTCTTGCTTCTTCCTCTGGTCTTGTAGCACACAGACTACACACCATCTCAGGGCTTCGATACTTCACCTTGAACTTTGTAACTCCTCATCTAACTCTTCAAAGCAGGATAGAGTCTTCTTCTTGATTCTCTCTCTGGCCCCAGAGAGTGAAGACTTATCCACAAACAGGAGCAGCTTTCCAGGGCTTTCCCTGGTGCTGCCTACAAGCAAGGTGCAGTTTCTGCCTGAGCCAGCTCAAAATATGGGGAACAGAGGGAACAGGAGGACTAAACTGGGAGTTTCTCCAGGCCAGACTCCATGTCCTGGTAATCTCAGGGTCCTCAGCACCCAGCATAGAGTGGTCTTCTGGGTCCTCAATACCCAGCATTGTGCTCAGGGAATGGATGGTCTGATGGATCGTTGGATAGATGGATGGGAACAAGGCAGACACAATCCATGCCCACATGGGGCTTGAAATCTAGTTGAGAATACAGGCAATATGAAAATAAACCCCCAAACAAAATATTTTAAGAGTGATGACTGCTGGAAGGTGTAATAGATGAGTTTGGGGGGGCTAGTACTTTAGTTAAGTGGTCATTGAAAGACTTGTAACATTTGACTTGAGACCTGATAAGAAGTCAGCGATGTGAAGATCTGGAGAAGACGTAGGAACAGTAAATGCAAAGGTCCTGAAGAATGAACAAAGTGAGGCTTTCTCAAAAATTGAAAAAGGCTTGTACACTTGAGGCAGATACAACAAGGGACTTATGACTGAGATGAGGATGAGAAGGAGGGAGGGCAGATCATGCAGGGTCTTGGGGGTAGGAACTGTGGATTTTGTTTTGAGCAGGATGTGAAACCAAAGGAAGGTGTTAAGCCGGACAGTCACTGGTCTGAGTAAGTTTTTAAAGGATCACTCTGGCTACCATGTGGGGCTATACAGGGAAGGCAGTGAGAAGGTTATCGCAGTAGACAAAGCCAGCGAGGGCAGTGGAGGTACAGCTGGAGAGATGGGGCAGGTTCAAGGCATATTTTGGAGACAACAGGGTTTGGTTTATAAATTGGGTGTTGTGGGAGAAGGGAAAAGGGTGATTCCCAGATGTT